GGGGGACAGTATACCCATTTTTCAGTCCTCGATCTGAAAGATGCTTTCTTTACCATCCCAGTTGCCACCCCGTCACAGGAGATCTTCTCCCCCACCCTCTTTGGTCAGGCTCTGGCCAGGGACCTAGAGGAGTGGGATAATAAAAAGGCCCTCCTTCTGCAGTATGTAAATGATTTGTTAAATGCCACTGTGGGCCAAACCCCCTGCCTTAAAGCCACCGTGAGCCTCCTGAATTTTATTGGACTCCGGGGATATCGGCTAGCACGAAGTACTAGTACCTCGGGTTCCACATACGGCAAGGGGAGCGTCAGCTTTCAAACGAAAGGAAGGAAGCTATCTGTCAAGTTCCTACCCCAAGTAATTGTAAGCGGCTCAGGGCATTTCTGGGTATGGCAGGCTTTTGCAGAATATGGATCCCAGAGTTTGGACTATGGGCTAAACCCCTGTACGGCTGTGTAAAAGGAGCAAATTATGACCCCTTCTATTGGACCCTAGAGGCTGACAGGGCATTTAAAATTTTAAAAAAACAGTTAATGGAAGCCCCGACTCTGGGCCTGCCGGATCTCTCTAAGCCGTTTCAGTTGTATGTACATAAACAAAACGGGGTGGCCCTAGAAGTGCTCACACAGCTGTTAGGAGCATGGAGACGTGGCTTATTTTTCTAAGCAACTGGATCAGGTTGCAAAGGGTTGGCCGGCATGTTTACGGGCACTTGCAGCTACTGCCCTAGTGCTTGAGGAAGCCGAAAAGCTAACATTGGGAGGGATTATGCAAATCTATACTCCCCATATGGTCCGAGCCTTATTGAATGCAAAGGGTGGGCTCTGGCTCACCCAGGCTCGGATTGCTCGGTATCAGGCTAAGCTGTTAGAGAACTCTGAAGTCACCTTACAGCCTTGCCCCTCCCTTAACCCAGCCACCCTCTTGCCAGAAACAGAGGAACAGAAACATGATTGTTCAGAGATCATAGATGTCCAGTACTCCAGCCATCCGGATTTAAAGGATGTACCCCTCCCAAATGCAGATTATGAGTGGTACACTGATGGTAGCAGTACTGTAATAGATGGGCAAAGGAGGGCGGGTTATGCTGTTGTGACCCTCCATGACACTGTGGAAGCTGAAGGTTTGCCTGCTGGGACCTCTGCCCAGCTTGCCGAACAAATAGCCCTGACCCGTGCACTTGAACTGTCAAAAGGAAAGCGGGTCAACATTTTTACTGATTCAAAGTATGCTTTTGGTGTGCTGCATGCTCATGCTGGCCTATGGAAGCAAAGGGGAATGCTGACAGCCCAAGGCTCCCCAGTCAAGTACGGGCCCCAAATCCTCCGGCTCCTAGAAGCCATACAACTTCCCTTGGAAGTGGCGGTGGTACACTGTAAAGCCCATCAAAGGGAAGATCAAGATGTGGCCAGAGGTAACGCCCGGGCAGATAGAGAGGCTAAGCATGCTGCAATCCTGCCATCCCCTCAGACTGAGAACGCCCATATGCATGCCCTTATCCCATCAGTAGGGGAGCTTCCAGTACTCTGGGGAGGAGAGACAGCTAACTGACAAACTCGGTCTCCGGGAAAAGGAGGGATGGCTCCATTCCTCAGAAGGGAAGGTCCTCCTACCAAAGGGCCTGATTCGGCCGGTGCTGCAAAAACTACATCAAACCACTCATGCTGGCAGGAAAGCACTTATCCAACTAATGGGAAAATACTTTATCACTTCTGGACTCTGACCCCTGGCTGCCCAGGTACAGGCAGACTGCTTAGTCTGCCAAAAGAATAACCCCCGACCAGGACATCCTGTGCCACCAGCTGCCCTGGAACCCACTCCGGGCCCCAGACAAATGTGGCAAATAGACTTTACTGAGTTTCCCCGGATCCAAGGGTTCAAATATCTCCTTGTCATAGCGGATCGGTTCACCGGATGGCCAGAAGCCTTCCCATGCTGTAACTGCACTGCCAGAACAGTGGCCCTCAAGTTTGTTAAGGAGATCATTCCTCGCTTTGGACTCCCCTGGTGGATGGAATCTGACAACGGGACACACTTCACGTCAAAAATCATCCAAAGCATCTCAAATGCCTTACAGATCCCCTGGAAACTCCATACGCCCTGGAGACCGCAAGCCAGTGGTGTAGTGGAGCATACCAATCAGACCCTTAAACGACATCTCTCAAAAGTGTGCCAAAAAGCCTCACTGCGATGGCCTGATGCTTTGCCCCTCGTCCTACTCCATATCCGCGTTCTCCCAAAGGGTAGATTAGGGCTTAGTCCCTTTGAAATTATGTTTGGAAGGGCATGGCCTATGAATGGCACCCCGGTTCTGTCAGGGGAATGGGAGCTGGGTAATGGCTTTTTGTCTCAGTATATGTGTTCCCTGTCTGCTGTTCTCTTGTGTCTTCACAGGTATACAAGGATTCCCAGCCTCTCCCCTTGGACTCTCCCGTCCACTCCTTACAGCCTGGTGACTCCGTGCTTGTTCGTACCGGAAAGATGAGCCTCTCCAGGAAAAGTGGAAAGGGCCCTATACCGTCCTGCTGATCTCCCATACAGCAGCAAAGGTTGAGGGACACAAGAACTGGATCCATCACTCTCGTCTGAAGGCAGTACCCGCCCCCACGTCAGCAGAACAGTGAACCGTCCAACCTGCTGACTCCTCATCTAGTGACGATCTCGGGCTAAAGCTACTGTTTAAAAGACACAAATAGCGGGCACCTTAACGCGAAAATGGGCCCACCCAGGTACTGGAGACCCTGGGTTGGGAAGACTCTGGTAATAATTAATTGGGTAACGTTGTTATTCTCTGTACTGTTATTTCCAAACTGTGCATATCGGGAGCATAACTCCATTGTTTCGCTTGTGCACCATGTTGCTACTTTAACAAACCAGACTGATTGCTGGGTATGTGCTCCAACTCCACTGTCCCCCAAAACGGGAATGCCCCTTGACATGCTGCCCCTGACCCTAGCAGAATTAGCCGCCACCAAAGAGCAGGAAAGAACGGACTCGCCGTTCTGGAACAAGACCTCTTTACAGCAAGCCACCTATCAGGACCAGGAGTATTCAGTTGCAGTACTCACTGAGGGCGTGTTATGTTTTACCCGAAACCAATTTAATCACTATGGGCGTCCTGTGGGAAAGAGCTCCTGTGTTATTACACAATGGGCTAATAAGTATTAAATAAAGACCAAAAAAAAAGGTCAGCTGTGTGGGTGTAATGGTTCCTCCCCTTTTAAAAAAACTCTTACAAATAATCTTACCACAGAAAAAAGGTTTAGAAATATAACTTGCCGTCCAGTTAATATCTCCAATGTAGCAAGCCAATGGTGGGTTTGTAGTAGTCTCTATGGCAAGTGTAATTTAAACAGCACAATTAGAAACACCCCCACTTGTACCCGATCAAAAAAATGGGATGCCCTCTTAGGGGCATATAAACTGTTTAAAAAAGCAGCCAAAGCAGCCTTAATTATCCCAGGAATCCCCTTAAAAAACAGTCCTTACTGGGCCCTATAGGGTCACTGTTTTGTATGTGGTCAAAAGGCTTACAAGGTGCTGCCAGCCAACGGAACAGATAGCTCTTATATAGCTCATGAAGTTCCTCATCTGTCAATAACTGCCACACTGCCCAAAGGCAAGATTAGAAATGCCCAAAATACCTCTGTTAAGTCACAAAAAAAGACCCTGCGGCGACTGACTACAGCATTAAAAGGCAATATAAAAAATCCCCTCACAACCCAGAAGCTTGTAGGGTGCTCTGTACTGAGAATATCACCACTGTTTACTGGGCCAGCCATGGCATGCATAGGCCGCTATACTGTAAGGCTGCAAATGGTACTTGAGAAAGTTGCCTTAAAGTTAAAAAACTTGGTTAATAATTTAGAGTCAGCAATAAAAACATTAAATAAAAAAAGGTACAGCAGCTCAGGACCTTTTCCCTCCAAAACAGGCTGGCTTTGGACTATCTCTTGGCATCCCAAGAAGGGGTTTGTGCCCTCGTCAGGCCCCAATGTTATGTATATATAAATAATAGCAATGATAAAATCTATAAAAAGGTGGTACAGCCTAAGGCCCATGCCCGAGCCAGAGCACAGGTTGCCTATACTGCCCCAAGAGCAATTGGTTGCAAACCTTGTTTTCAGGCTGGGGTTTGTCGTTTTGGCTTGGTGGTTTATTTAGCCTGTTATTAAAATTTCTTTTTTCTGTATTGCTTGTATTACTGGTATTATGCTGTGCAGTCTCATGTGTCAGGGCCCTTTTGCAAAAGTTAATAAGTCATTCTCTTCAGGGCTTTCACAAAGTGCTTATGCAAAATCCTATTGTAAAAAAATAAGTAGCCCAAGTGAAAAAACTCAGAGCCAAGGCTGTTGAGTGTTCTCAAAGGCGGGAGTTGTTGGGGACACTGGGGCATGGCCACTAGGTAACTCGAGAGAATGGAAGACCACGAGTGTTGATGATGCCCCCTCGCACTAGGCCCAAGTGTCCTTGGCCCCCCCGCCTGAAGGCACTCGCAGCAGTTATGCTAAAAATCTGCAACAATATGTTGCAAAGTCAAACTGCCTGAAACTAAACAAGGCCAAACAAAGCAAATATAAAAAAACAATGCTGAATAAAGCAGCTTTATATATGGTTTAACAAATAATACAAAAAAAAACAAACTAGCTAGTAACTATATAAATACTTAGGGCAGCTTGCTATTAAATAAATATGCTAAAAATATATATATAAAAACCTGTGTAACTTCCTGCTCTGTGTGCAGGATTTAAAATTCTATTCTCCCTGTACCTTCTTTGCAGCTTCAAATAAACTTTTCTGCTTCTCCACCCCATTGTGATTATTGGGTGACGCACACCGGGCAACGAACCTTGCTATTGTTCGCCTCTGGCACTGGGTGCCGGCAACACTCGGGTGAAAGGACCTGCAGGGTCCAGGTCTCAGCATAACTGACAGGTTGTTCCATCACAACCACACATATCCAAACAGCAAAATATGGATCCATGTCTGTCTCCTCCTACCTTTTCTATCTCCTCCAGAAAAGCATCAATGAAGTCTCTGGTAAAGCCTGGATCCCGGGTCTCCTTGTGCTTCTTCACAATCTCTCTTAGGATGTCAAAGCTATCAGCATAGGGTTGGAAGATGTTATGATGAGGCCCAGGAATATACAACAACCAAGGCATCATGTTCAGAATCTAGGATGGAAGAGACAGGAGAGGAAAAGCATTAGATAAGAAAGGCAGTTCTCAGATACTCGGCGGGGGAAGAAATGGAACTGGGATGGAATGTTCCCAACAGGCCAGCTCCCCGACTTCACACTGGGTAAATGTTTTGGAGCTCCCTACCTTGCTCCCTCCACCATGCAATACAATGTGTTCTGACCAACATTGTCTGCATGTAAGTTAGCCATCTGACTAACTGCCCCTGTGAGTAAACACCCTCCTCAGTTCAGACTCATTCTGTTACGGGCTGTTCCTAGCCTCCCATCCGCATGACAGTGGCAACAGGAGGACAGTGAAAGAATGGAGGGACAGGGGAAAGATTACTGTTGAGACTTTTCTTATTGTTTCAAGGCTCTAGGGAGATTTTAAATGTTACAAATACTGGCCCTGATGCTGCAGTCCTTACTCAGGATAAATGTCACTGACTCTTATGGGCTGGGCTCATATACCTTTTTTTTTTTCTTCTGATCTATCTATTGAGTGTGATGGCCAAGGGCCTGTAAGGCGGAGTTCCCTTGAAGGGCTGGTTTTCTGGAGGAGAGGAAAGTCTCTCACTCGCCATTCCCTGATCTTGGTTGTACTAATGGGATAGTTAATTCTTTTGTAAGAATGTGTGTGTGATATAGAAGATAGTAGTAAGATCCAGTCTGAAAGTCAGCTTCTTGCAAAAATCACATAGAGCAAAGTCACTTGTGTTCCCAGTTGGGAGAAGGTGGGAGGTTCTGGATGCCTTCCTTCCCTAAAAATATTCACAGAGTTCTCTTACTGTATTGAAAAGCATTGAAGTCGGGGGTTGGTTTTGTTGTTGTTGTTGTTTTAAGTTTTAGATGTTCTGTTCAGAAAAACCCTTACAAATTAGGAAACTTCTCTAAACTATCCCAAGCCATCAGTTCATCCAAACTGGGCTGGAAATATCCCGATAACAAGCCCTCCTTAGAATTTCCTGTACACATCTCTTGTTGACCAAGAAATACTAAGGCTATGTCTACACTACGCAGCTTTGAGCGTCACGCTAGAGGCATGCAGTGTAGCTGCTGTTTGTCGGCGGGAGAGAGCTCTCTTGCCGACAGAAAACTTCCACCCCCAAAGAGTGGCATTAGTGTTGTTGGCAGGACACACTCCTGCTGACAAAGCGCTGTTCACACCAATGCTTGTCGTCGACAAAACTTTTGTCTTTTGGGGGATGTTTTGTTAACACCTCTGACTGACAAAAGTTTTGTCTTTCACGTGCCAGTGTAGACAAAGCCGAAGAGACCAACCTATCTCCAGGCATTTCAGCAGTCCCACTTCCTGCCCCAGCTGCCTCTAGAAAATGCAGAGGAACACAAGGGAAATAGCCATGTGCAAACCCTAGCCAGAAAGCATTTGACGGGTTTCAGGAGATTTCTGTTTTATACAAACAGGTTCATAATCCCTGCATCAAAAGCACCACGGCACCTTTGTCTAAAACACCGTATGGAGTGTGAGCTCTTCATCCCCCTCGGACCCACCCAGGCAACTAAGAGGTTTCATCTTTACTGACAATCAGATTTTTGTGGGCTACCTGGGACATGATTCCAGCTCCTATATTGAAAGCCTCCTCTATCAGATGTAGCATCCTCAGGAATTTCTCATTGTTGTACTCAAAGCGGTTGCCAAAAGTGAGGGAGCACATCACATTGCCGACGGCACTGTTTATGAGGAAGCGTGGATTGAAAGAATGGCCTGAAAAAGATACAGGAACCAACCCAGGAAATTAGGAGGCACACCAGGATCGCAGCCTGCTGCTACATGGGGATGTACTCAACGAGACCCTCCAACATCACAGGAAGTGGGAAATGCACTGCACCTTGCTATTTAGCTGAATCCCCTCCACAGTGGCTGGATCATCTTCACATGGAAACCTCTCTTCCTCCTCCTCTAGAATTGCTCTTCCCTCCAGCTCCATGTACCCTACTCTTGAGAGCACCCCCCTTCCCTGCTTTATGACTAGAGATATGAGAGTTTCCACTCTCCCAAACATACCATCTTTAGAACTGAACGCAGAGCATAGATATCCAGCTTCCTCAGTCACGCGCTGATCCAGGGATTTCTTCCCCAGCCCAAAATTCCTCAAGGTGGAGAGTGTGAATCTCCTCAGCTCCTTCCAGCCACGGCCATACCTTGCCATCATTATCCCTGCAGGGTTTCAAAGAAATACTAGTCACATAGCCACCTGTTCCCCCCACCCCTCCCTGCTGCTTTAATAAATGGAAAAGGGTTGGTTTTGTTGTATTGATTTACTCTTTTTAGTTAATTATTTCCCCGTTAACTGTGCCACTGTACACATGGCTCACGACAGTGATACTTGTGGGGAGAAATGGGCTTGGGTCCCTTGGGAAGCTGTGTGAGCTAGAGCAATAGTTCCCAACACCGCTCCATGGGCCAGACTTCCTGGTACTTCCGGTTTTTGTGACTCTAGGGGCTGTCTGTGAAACAGGTTTTCAAATAAAGTTTATAATGCCAGATGGCCTTTGAGGCTCTTGCTGGTGGCATCCATTTTGCTGAAAAGCAGAGCCATGTTGTTTGTGCTCCCCAAGAACTGATGTGCATGGAGGAGATGGGAAATTTGCCCAGGACTATGAGAAGCTTTAACTGCTTGAGGGACACTTACCTTCACAGTTTTTTCTATAGCCCAAATGGTCAAATAAAGAAAAGGGTGGTCGATCAGCAAAGTCCTCTGATCTCTGGACTAATGCTTCCTTTACAGCTTCTAACCCATTCAGCACGACCACATTTTTCCATCCAACCTGAAGAGAGAAGATCTTTCCAAACTTCTCAGTGGGCTGTCAAGTAAGAGAGAAAAGAGAAAAAAAGAAAAACAGGATTAAAAATTAAAAACAGCTACAAAGGCTGTAGCTTAAAATGAGAGACACTGTAGCATAGTCTGTGGCAGGCAGAGGGCACAGGGGCTTTGACTGCAGAGTGCTTAATCCCTGCAAAGCTGTCGACCCAAGAGGGAATGTGCCCAAAGTTGGTAGGAGGCATCTAGCTCAGCACCACATTTTCATATCATTCCGTGTGGATTTGGGCGGGAAGCCAATCAGTGTCCCTCTCCCCGGCCACCTTAATTTCCCAGTTGCTCTTTGTCCATAAAGAACATTGTTGGGTTTCAAAGTACTGTCTCACTGCACCAATACTCAGCTGTCCATTAGCCTGGTCAAAACTCAATTTCCAGATAGCGGGAAATTTTGACATTTTGAAATTTGTTTCCAGTTAGAATCAGAATGAAAACAAATTTCCCAGACATTGAAATTTCCAAAAAAGTTCTGTTTTGGAAAGTTTTTGTTTCAAAATGTCATTTTGAAATCTGGACGTTTGGATTCTAATGCTGTTTTGTTACATGAGGCTTTTTTATTTGCATAGGATTACATTTTATCCATAACATGTCAGTGGTAATAGCGCTCTGAATAGTCCTGCTACTGATGTGTTACGAAATAATATAAAAATAATTAGAAATGAAGAACTCGGAAACAAACATTTTCCAAAGTCAACACATTTTCCCTTCAAAAGGCCACCCCCGGGGAATAGTCATCAAAACCAGCGTTTCTGGTCTAAAAACCGGTTCAATGAAGACATTCCCACCAGCTCTACTGTACAGCTGTGTATGGGACCCATTGCTAAAGTGCTGTAATTCTCCAATTTACACACACCCCTTGGGAGGGTGCGTCCAAGTCCTAGTTTAAGGGCCCAAATGAGGAATAAGGCACTTACATGGCTGCTTTCTCAACTATTAGAGTAGTGTAAACTAGTGCAAATGCTTTCTTTATGTTAACATTTACTTTAACAAGTATAGTGAATGATGCAAACTGGTTTACAGTTTTGATGTACATATGGTTCCATAATGTATTACTGATCAACAATTAACCACCCACCTACAGTGAGAGGGGGATGTCACAAGTTCATATGATGAAAATTGGTGATTTTTTTTGCCTTGCTTTTATTCTGTTTAGCTTTTCTCCTTTTATAGATTGAAATCTTCCTGCAATGCAGTAAATAATAGGTGCAGTTCAGCTGCCACACAAGAACCAGAAACTGATCTGGCATGGCTGCTATTCACCAACCCTCTCTGCCAGTCAGTGAAAGGCATCTGTCCCTCTGGCACTTACCTCTGTTAAGGCAAGGCGAGGACATTGGAAATTGATCTGCAGCAAGTTCCCAATGAAAGGGAAGGAGACAGGCCCCGGGGGGTAGTTGTTCCATCTCTTTCTGCGCTTCATGTGATCGAAAAGCAGGATAAAGACAGCACAAGAGAGGCCAAGTGTTGTGAAGCTGTTCCAGAGGGATGGGAGCTGGGACCCGAGCCAGGAGAGCAGTTCCATTGTGTCTCTCCTACCTCACTCTGTCCCCCAATACGTTTTTCCCTTTCCCCTCCAACACTTTCCCTATTCCTGTTTCACCTTCTCCCAGTCTGTCTTTCTGTTTCTTTCTCCTACTTTCCCTCTCTCACTCTCCCCATCCCTCTCTTCCTTTCCCTCTGTTTTTATCTATTTTGCTAGCTATTCTATTCTAGTCACGCCCTCTCTTCTAAGAATGAAGTGCCATAAGCCTACACAGGACTTTACAAATAGCAAAGTGCCGGGCTGTGTAGTTATTGTTTCTCTTCAGCTCCTTCCCAGACCTCGTAGGAGTGGTGATGAAGGTGTGCCTGTCCCCACTTTACGCAAGCCATAATTTTACACAAAATCTGTAGGAGGAGTCACAGCTGGGGGCCGATCTTGTGATAGTTGGAGCCAAAAAATGTACTGGTGAGGACTCTTGATTCCCTCCCACTCTCTCCACTTCAGCAGTAGAATTATAGCAGGAAAATTAGCTAAAAAGGAAGAGGTTTGACTGGCTTTGTTACCTCTGACATCAATATCTAGGTTTTTTTTAAACAATATATATATCTGCTCATCCCTGTGGTATCTAACCATCACAGTAGCACTACTTAAGAAGCATCTGAATTTTCCATGACTGGAATTATAACAATTAGACATCAATCATTAAGAATTTCATTACAACCCAATTTCTTCAAAATCATAAGAATATAAGAACGGCCATACTGGGTCAGACCAAAGGTCCATCAAGCCCAGTATCCTGTCCTCTGACAGTGCCCAATGGCAGGTGCCCCAAAGGCAAGTGATCCATGCCCTGTCACCCAATCCCAGCTTCTGGCAAACAGAGGCTAGGGACACCATTCCTGCCCATCCTAGCTAATAGCCATTGATGGACCTATCTTCCATGAATCTATCTAACTCCCTTTTGAACCCCATTATAGTACTGGCCTTCACAACACCCTCTGGCAAGGAGTTCCAGAGGTTGACAGTGCATTGTGTGAAAAAATACTTTCTTATGTTTGTTTTAAACCTGCTACCTATTAGTTTCATTTGGTGACCCCTGTTTTTGTATTATGAGAAGTAGTTAACAACACTTCCTTATTTACTTTCTCTACACCAGTCATGATTTTATAGACCTCAAACATATCACCCCTTAGTCGCCTCTTTTCCAAGCTGAAAAGTCCCAGTCTTATTAATCTCTCCTCAGATGGAAGCCGTTCCATAACCCTAATAATTTTTGTTGCCCTTTTCTGAACCTTCTCCAATTCCAATATATCTTTTTTGAGATGGGGCGACCACATCTGCACGCAGTATTCAAGGTGTGGCCATACCATGGATTTATATAGAGGTAATATGATATTTTCTGTCCTATTATTTATCCCTTTCTTGATGATTCCCAATATTCTGTTCCCTTTTTTGACTGTCACTGCACATTGAGTGGATGATTTCAGAGAATATCCACAATGGCTCCAAGAACCCCTTCTTGAGCGGTAACAGCTAATTTAGACCCCATCATTGTATATGTATAGTTAGGATTATGTTTTCCAATATGCATTACTTTGCATTTATCAACATTAAATTTCATCTGCCATTTTGTTGCCCAGTCACCCAGTTGTGTGAGATCCTTTTGTAGCTCTTCGCAGTCTGCCTGGGACTTAACTATCTTGAGTAGTTTTGTATCATCTGCAAATTTTGCCACCTCACTGTTTACCCCTTTTTCCAAATTGTTTATGAATATGTTAAATAGGACCGGTCCCAGAACAGACCCCTTGGGGACACCATTATTTACCTCTCTCCATTCTGAAAACTGACCATTTGTACCTACCCATTGTTTCCTATCTTTTAACCAGTTACCAATCAATGAGAGGACCTTCCCTCTTATCCTATGACTGCTTATTTTGCTTAAGAGCCTTTGGTGAGGGACCTTGTCAAAGGCTTTCTGAAAATCTAAGTACACTATATCCACTGGATCCCCTGGTCCACATGCTTGTTGACCCCCTCAAAGAATTCTCGTAGATTGGTGAGGCATGATTTCCCTTTAGAAAAACCATGTTGACTTTCTCCAACAAATTATGTTAATCTATGTGTCTGACAATTTTGTTCTTTATGATAGTTTCAACCAATTTGCCTGTTACTGAAGTGAGGCTTACTGGCCTGTAGTTGCCAGGGTCACCTCTAGAGCCCTTTTTAAAAATTGCTGTCACATTAGCTATCCTCCAGTCATTTGGTACCGAAGCTGATTTAAATGATAGGTTACAGATGACAGTTAGTAGTCCTGCAATTTCACACTTGAGTTTCTTCAGAACTCTTGGGTGAATACCATCAGGTCCTGGAGACTTATTATGTTTAGTTTATCAATTTGTTCCAAAACCTCCTCTAATGACACCTCACTTTGGACAGTTTCTTAGATCTGTCACCCAAAAAGAATGTCTCAAGTTTGGGAATCTCCTTCACTTCCTCAACAGTGAAGACTGATGTAAAGAATTCATTTAGCTTGTCCGCAATGGCCTTATCGTCTTTGAGTGCTCCTTTAGCATCTTAATCGTCCAGTGGCCCCACTGGTTGTTTAGCAGGCTTTCTGCTTCTGATGTATTTAAAAAAAGTTTTGCTATTACTTTTGGAGTCTTTGGCTAGCTGTTCTTCACATTCTTTTTTGGTCTTTCTAATTATATTTTTACACTTCATTTGCCAGAGTTTATGCTCTTCTCTATTTTCCTCATTAGGATTTATCTTCCACTTTTTAAAGGATGCCTTTTTGCCTCTCACTGCTTCGTTTTATTTGTTGTTTAACCACGGTGGCTCTTTTTTGGTTCTCTTACTATGTCTTTTAAATTCGGGTATACATTTAAGTTGAGCCTCTATTATGGTGTCTTTAAAAAGTTTCCATGCAGATTGCAGGGATTTTACTTTTGGTACTGTACCTTTTAATTTAAAATCATTTTTTGCATGTGTTTTCTAGGAGGTTTAACTACATAGAAATGTCTGTCTTACTCTATTATCAGGATCGTTCCATCAAAGAAAAGGTGAGCCAAGTGCTGCATTTCTTAAAAGCTCACTTTTTCTTTGATTGTAATGCTAACTAATTAACAATTTGACTTGTAAATCCTCAGAGAAGTCAGTCAGTACGGTCAACCCTGTGGCCTGAAGCCTAGGAAAGAAGGAAGGAAACAGAGTCAGCTCTCTGTTGTTATCTGCTGGAGAGCAAGAGGCATGGACTGAGTAAGGCAGCACCACATTTACATATTAACTTCAGATAGTTTGGGGACATAGGGGTATAATCTGGCTGAGTTTTGAACTTGCAGCCCATATTACCCTGGTGGGAACCATCTGGGCAAAGCCTGAACAATGACTGAGTACAGGGTTGCCCTGAAGAAGACTGATGTTTGCCAAGGTCGGGTAAGAGTCCTTGGACAGAAGGAGCCCAAGTTCCAGAAAAAAGAGAGATTGTCCATTCTTGGTTAATTGCTGGGACTGCTTTCGCAGTGGTTAAGAACTCTTCTGGGGCTGTCAGATCACTTATTCCCCTGGTACCGTAACAAAACCTGAGCTGAAAGCTACAGTTGCCTGATATGGGCAGAACTGAGCAGTGGTTCTTGGAATGCTAACTGGGCCTTTAAACAACAAAAAATAAAATAAACAAATAAACCTTTCCACCTTGAAGTGCCTTGTGTACCTAAAGTCTGACTGCAATGCTTTTGCTGTGTGTCCAGCTCATTACATTCTCCTCAGCCTCTATTCAGTGATATTCCAAGAGAATTCGAGCAAGCAAAGTCCCAAAAGGCAAACTCTTCTCCATAACCTTGAGTAGTTTTGGCTTCTGTGCTAGCTTTGGTTATGTTGTCATGCTTCCCGCAGCCTCCATTGGCCGGGAACGGTGAACTGTAGCCACTGAGAGCTGCGGGGGGCCATGCCCGCGGATGGTCAATGTCAGCAAAATATCTCACAGCCTGCAATCAGCTTACCCTCATGGACCACATGCAGCCCACGGGCTGCAGATTGCCCACCACTGCTTTAGAGCCTACCAGTCAAAGCATGAAGGGACATATGAATGTTTAGCATATCTGCCATTTTTGCCAGAAGCTGGGAATGGGCGACAGGGGATGGATCACTTGATGAGTACCTGTTCTGTTCATTCCCTCTGGGGCACTTGACATTGGCCACTGTCGGATGGCTGGATACTGGGCTAAATGGACCTTTGGTCTGAGCCAGTATGGTCATTCTTAGGTTCTTATGTAAATACCTTGCAATATCTGCTAAAACAGTGCTATGCAAATACCTGTTCCCACTTTCAGGTGACATTGTAAATAAGAAGCGGGCAGCATTATCTCCCATAAATGTAAACAAACTTGATTGTCTGAGCGATTGGCTGAACAAGAAGTAGGATTGAGTGGACTTGTATGAGGTGAATTGAAAAATACTACTTCGTTTATCTTTTTTACAGTGCAAATATTTGTAATAAAAATAAATATAAAGTGAGCACTGTACACTTTGTATTCTGTGTTGTAATTGAAATCAATATATTTGAAAATGTAGAAAAGCATCCAAAATATCCATTATTATCCATAATAAATTTAAATTGGTGTTCTATTACTATTTAACAGTCAATTAAAACAGAGATTAATTGCAACTATTTTTTTAATCTAGTCAATTTGTTTTGCGATAAACTCATGCATTAACTGTGATTAATTGACAGCCCTAGAGTGGCAGGGTGGACTGGTCTGGAGGTCCCCTGCTGGAGGCCTTGCAGCCTGCATCACCCTGCCCCAGAATACAGCAGTGAGAAGTCCTCCAGGCAGCCTAGAGTGGCTGCAGAGAAACAACAAATCAGAGGGATGATGAAGCAGCTAATCTGGGGCCAGAACGGCCCTATATAAGACAAGCACTAGAGCAGAGAAGTCAGTTGCTGGCTGGAGCTCGAGGAGTGAAGCCTGGGTGACTGGCTGGCTGGAAGAGCAGCAGTACCGCGGACAGGACTGAAGCCCAGGGAAGGCTGCTGATGACCA